GTCCATGCCCCATCGCCTTCCTCCTCTAAATCTGGTATTATCTGCTTTACTGTTTAATCTCATTTCCTGCCCCTGGATGTTTGTTTTATTATCTTACGCGTACTCGAGGCCATGCCTCTGGAAGCCCCTGCACTGGCGTTCACCCTGAGCTACCCACCCTGGCCCCACCTCTGGGGCAGACACAGTGTCCTTGCTCCGGGTTAAGTCCTGGCCTCCCCCATCGTTCAGCCAGGAGTTCATGTTTCAGTGGCCGGCAACTGCGCAGTGTGGGATCATCCTGGGCCCTGGGACACCATAGCGCGCTGGGCAGAGATGCCTTTCTTGGTGACATTTGAGAAGCTAAAAACCAGAGTGGCAGGAGCATCTGGCCCTGTGGGAGGTGGGAGGGCAGGCTTGCTGGGGACCTGCAGCTGGCCAGGAAGAGGTCCTGGGGCGGAATTTCTAACCAGTCAGCTCACAGATCCAGGGGCAGCAGGGGCAGCGAGTGGGAACAGGGACAGCAGAGGCAGCTGGAGATGGGTGAGGGTGTGGGCAGAGGTCCAGGGGTCTTCTGGGCCATGGAGTAGCCCTTGAGAGTCTAAGGGAAAACTTGAGGGCTTTACGCTGGAAGCTCTGCTCATCCCTCTCAGATTCAGGTCTACGGCGAATTCTCCGGGGTTGGACTTATGGAGCACTGTGATGAGGGGCAGCCCAGAGATGTAGCCAAGAGATGATGGGGACCACACTCTGGGAAGACGTGATGGAATTGGGGTGCTCGGGGGACCAGTCAACATAAAGGGGAAAAAGACAAAAAATGAAATAAAAACCTCAGTTCCCAGTCGTGTCCCCCCCCCCCCCCGCCCGAAGGGTAGTGGCATCTCCCTGGCCCTGGTCTGGAGCACACAGGATCCTCAGCCCTCTCCCGACATGAGGTGATAACCAGGCACGCTGTACGACACCCCAAGACCCTGGGCCAGCGACTCCCATCCTGACCTCCTTCTCTGCTGTGCCACGCTGCTTCCATAAACTACCAATGACGAGGCGAGCACCATGCCAGGTCACAGGAGTGTTCCGTGACTGGCATCCCTGGGACACGGATCTCTCTGACCCACCCCGGGTGCTTCCTAACAGCATGTGGGAACTAGGCTAACAGGGCCGCACACACAGCAGATGAAACCCAGGGCCTCCCTGTCTGCACCCCAGGGTGCTCCTGCTCTCCTAGCAGACTGGCTCCTCGGACGGCCTCTCCGGAGTCAGGCTTGCTTTTCCAGCTGCAAGGTCCTGGTTGTCACCATCATTTTCGCCATCCACCCAAGGGGGTCCCAGAGTGTCGGATCTGGGCTGCACAGAGGACTGAGCACACTGAGACCTCACTCTGCAGACTGCCAGAATGGACAAGGGACAGCCGCACGGACAGGACCTCTGATGCACGCGAGAGGTGAGTGTGAAATCCCAGGGCAGCCCATGGAGAGTCTCTGCCCCAGGAGAAGCAAGACAAAGGAGGCCTTGTCTCAGACAGAGAGGAGACTCAAGGCAGAGGCGGAGAGCCTGTGCCCCTGACTGTGCTCGCTGGCCGGAAGGACGCCCGCAGTCAGGCTCGAGGTGAAGGTGCACTGCCTCGGTGTGCCCAGGCTCCGGCCATGGCACAGGACCAGCTACCTGCACGTCTGAGGTTGTTCCCTGTCTCTGGAACTAGACAGAACCGCCTCCTTCCTATACGATGAAGCTCGCAGGGGAGAATGACCCAGAAGCCTTCTGACGGGCCTGGCTCACCGTAAATTTCAGTCCGTTCTAAAGGAGAAAGACGGCGTTGGTGAGATTGCAGGCTTTGGTGGGAGCAGCCCTTCTCTGCCCGCAGAGTGCCCTGGCCTGGGCAGGTGAGCGTGCGGAACTGAAGGAGAAGGCTCAGGCATGCTCCTCTTTCTCCCCCTCTCCTTCTCCCTCTCCCTCCACCGTCCTATCTCAATCTCTCATTTTTCCTTTAACCCTGTTTTCTTCTGTTCATGCAGGGAGGTCTTCTTGAGCTGTTTTCATTCATTTCTAGAGTGCCTCAAATACCTTCAACTCTCCCCAAAGACCTCCCTTTACTCTACAAGCACATCTTTTGCTAACACCCCTCTGCTTTCTTTACAAAACAGCTTTTTGTCTACCAGTGAAGTGTCTAAAAAATAACAACGGGCTCCACACAAGCATTTGATTTGCTTCTAAAGAGGCGCCCCTTCCCAGACACCCTGACACTCGGGAGACAGGGAGAAGTCTATCAAGCTTAGCAGACATCTGTAGTCCAATTACAGTCAACAGTGTACAGGTGTTGAGAGGAAACGGGCTCATCACCACCCTCCCAAATGCATTTTCTTAATCTCTCTTAGAAACAAAAGCACACTTCTCTCTAGGGCCCTTTATCCAGGTGCCACCATCCCAGCTCCTCCTCCTGGCTGCTGTGTTCTCCCACACTGGCAGAGTAGTGACAGGGCACGCACAGCTGTACCGCCAGTGTCTCTCCAGCCTTCCCTGCTGAGCTCAGCCGCTGCCCTAAGGAGATTCCAGTTCAACAGATCCAGGGCTGAGCCTGGGAAGCAGCATTTTTGAGGCTTCCAGGCACTGCATATGGCTTAGGAAGAAATGTCTGTTTCCCAAATGCCACTGTGATGGGCATCGCCGGGGAGGGTGTTGGATGTCTGGGTCCCAGGTCCCTCTCTCCCAGGTTCCAAGTTCCAGTGTCTCTGGTGGAGCTTGGGGTCTGCATCTCTCACCAGCTGGTCTATTCCTTTTGTGCAGATGGTCAGCAGCGGGTGTGGCAGAGGAAACTAGCTGACCGGCACACACGTGCCGAGACAGGGTGGTGGCCATAGAGAGGCCCCTACATTCTCAACATGATCCTGTGGCTGCGGGCTTCCCAGGCCTCGGGACCCACGGTAAGCGGCAGCCTGTGGCCCATCCTGGGAGAAGCACTGCTTTGTATCTGCGATCAGATCGCATTTCCCCCTCTCCTGCGCCTTCACCGCTTCATACAGAGAAAGTCTGACAAACCAATGCTCTCTGCTGGACTCGTATGGGTTACTGCAAGGCTTCCGACTCTGTTCCTGAGAAGCTGAGCTCGTTCCATGTCAGCAGCGGCTAAGCAGCTTGCCTTGAACAGTCCGGGGACATCACCCACCCCAGAGTTCTTGGGACTGCACACCAGCAGTCTAACACAGTCCCCAGACCTCCCCAGCTTCCCTGAGTCTACCTATAATGGGGACATCAATAAACCCACCCCACAGAAGTCGGAGGAGTCCGAGTTAATTTACGCAAAGCGCCTGCAGCCAGGCCAGGCACATATGAGTGAGTGCCATCAGGATATACTCTCCCTGGAAATCACCGTGCTTTTCAGCAGGGTCAGGCTCTCAGACAGTTGGTCGTAGGCACCTAGGAAATGCACTGAATCCAGCGTTCGGAACTCAGACCCACTGCTCTGCAAGCACATCTTTCTCCCCAAACTGGCAAGCTTGCTGGCCCAGCAGTCTCCTGGAGCTCATAGCAAGCGCTGGGGAGCGTGGGACAGGCTCTGCGCCACCTCAGCCTCTTAGGGATGCAGGAATGGCACCAGTGGTGGACGTTTCAAGACAGTGCGGAGGCTGGGGCAGTCTCCCATCTCTCTGCTGGCACAGCAGCTGGCGAGGGCCACAGGAGGATGTGGGTCTTTCCAAGGCACAGCTCAGGGCTGAGGACTGGAATCCTCCGGTGCAGTTGTTGGATGGGTTTGTTCACAAAGCCACCCTGGGTATTGGGGGCCTCTGAGCAGGGGTGGACACAGTGACAGCCTGATAGATTCAGCCACAAGACCTGGTAACATCTTCCCCCTGCAGGCAGGGAGGGGGGCATGACAGGGGAGGGGCGGCAAGTTGGGCCAATTTGGGGCCCTGCTGGGTTTGTCCTGTAGGCATAGGTGGATAAATCAAACCTAGCCTTGTGTCTTGGACAAAACTGCACATCTGGGGTCATTGGAAATCTGATTTCCTTAAGGGGAACTCAGTGAGAGCCAGGGCCAGGAGGTGAGAAGCATGGGCCTTCTGTCCCCCGCCAGCCCCGCGCTTCTGCCCACGATGACTCTGACCTTGAGTCCCAGAGTTCCACCCCTCTTCTCCCGCCTTGAGTTTCTTACACCAGAACTAATGTATTCTGGAAACCGAGCTCCTCCAGACCACGACAAAGAAACTCCGAAATACCAGAGCAAACAAATCACTTTTCTTCACATCTCCCAGCTAGAGGACACTCACAGCCTTTACTCACTTTCCAGCCCGGCGTGCTTTCCGCTAGGTGATCCCCGAGGAAGTGTCCCACGGCTTGGAAGTCGCCCAGGCAGAGCAAAGAGACCAGTCTGACCTGTGCGGAATCTCTTCTTTCCGTGGGGGCCCTGAGGACTGCTTCCCTGGCTTCTGGGGCCTAACCGCGTTCGGATGCACAAACAAGCCTGGGTCCCGTCTGTCCAGATGCCGAGGGTCCATGGGGAGCTGGGCCCTGCATAGGAGGGCTGGCGAAGGAAGGAAGGGACTCAGTTCCTCTTTCCCTGTCACCTGCTGGTCGCTCAAGGTGGCTCCTGAGCTCCCTCGGGGGCCCCTGGTTAGGCCTTAGGAGGAACGTGCAGTTCAGGGCACCTGGAGCTCCGCGGGCAGACGCAGCGCCGCCCCTGTTCTGGGCTCTGGAAGGAAGTCGGCCTGAGGCCAGGCGCGCGCCATCCAGAAGGGATGTAGGGCTTGGGACAGCGACCCCAGGATCCTCTTCGCTTTTCACACCCGCCTCTTCTTTGGCCTCTGCAGATGGAGTGGCCTTGGCTCTTCGCCCGAAGCGGCTCCAGGCGTCTAGCGAGGCCCGGGCCGGCGGGAAGCCAGGCAGCCAGGCGGCAGGCGCGGGCTCGGCGCGGCGCGGCGCCTTTAAGGCTCGCGTCGAGCGGAGCAGCGCGGGCCGCGGGGCGGGGCCTCGGCGGGCGGGCGGGCGGCCGCGCGGCTTCACCTGCAGTTCCTGCGCGCGGAACAGAGGCGCGGGCGGCTGCGAGGCCGGCGGACGCAGCGGCCGAGGGAGCGCGCCGCCGGCCGGACTTGGCCTGGCTCCCGGAGCCGGGCAGCGAGCGCGGCGGGCTCCGCGGGTCCAGGCGGCGGGCGGCGGGCAGCGGGCGCCGGGCGGCGCGGCGGGGAAGATGACCGCGGGCGCCGGGGAGCTCCTCGTGCTGCTCTCGCTCTGCGGCGCGCTCCGGGTAAGTTGTCGCCCGCCCGCTCGCTCGCGCACTCGCCCGGCCGGCTTCTCCGGGCGCCTTCGCCGCCGCCTTCGCCGCCGCCCGGCTGTGTCCAGCCCGGCGCCCCGTGAACCGCCCGCAGTGGGCAGGCGCTGGGGTCGAGGGCGGTGGAGAGGCGGTGCGGCAGGGCAGCCCGGGGACCTCCGCCCGCGCGGGGACCCGCCGAGCATTCGCTGCCCGCTGCCCGGAGCTGCCCACTGGCGGAGCCGGCGCGCCCTCCACCGCCCGGGCGCCGCGCGCTCCGGAGTTGGCGAGCCGAGCCCGGCCCGGGCTGCGGGCGTGGGGAGCCTGCGGACGGCGGCCCGGGGCCAGGGCGCGGGGCTGGGGTCCGCAGCGCGGGGGCGCCCCGGTGCTGTGCGTGCCGGCAGGACTTCGGCCGCGGCGGTGGCGGATGGGGACCGCGGGGCGCCGAGTCCTGGGAGCGGGCTGGAGCCCGCGTCTCCGGGGTCCGGGCGACTTGGGGGGAACCGGCAAGGTGGCACCGGCGGGCGCAGGGTGGCCTCCGCCCCGCGGAGTGAGCGGGCGCCGGCTGCTTCCCGCCGAGCCCGCGGCCGCGGCCCCGCTCCGTGCGTGGGGGGCGCCGGGCCCGCAGGGGGGCGTGCGCGGCCGCTCCGGGGGCGCCCTGGGCGGAGGCGGAGGGGCGCGGGAGTTGCAGGCACCCCCTCTCGCGGCCGATCGGCCTCGCTGCCTCCTCCCCGGCCTCGCCGCGGTGACCTCGGGAATACACAAGTGCGGGTGGCCCGAGGCAGGCTCCGAGCCCGGGGCGCGCGGTGCTCCGGGCACACGGCCGCCGGGCGGATCGAAACTTTCCGGGACGAGTCCCGCCTCCCCGGCCTGCGGGTGCTCTCCGAAGCTTTGTTCCCGGGAACCTAGCCGCGGCTGCGAGCGTTTTCCAGGGAAGCCCCCGCGCCCTGCCTCCCTTCCTCGCTCCCGCCCCGGTGCTTTTGGCTGGAGGAGCTCCCGCTCCGGAGCCGTCCGAGCTAGCGGAGCTGCGGGCTGGTGGGAGCCGCGGGCGGGCGGGGAGGCGCGTTCCGCCCGAGGAGGCGCGACTGCGGGTGCGGCTGCGCCGCGGGGGCCCCTGCGCTCGCCGGGGAGCGGGGGCACGCTGTGCTCCCTCTGCTGTAGCCGGGCTGACTGGCGTTCGCTGACTGTCTTCCTACCCCCTGCAGCCTGGGAGGAGTCCTGCTGCCCAGCCTGGCTCACATGGGCGCTAGACTTCCAGAGGAGCGAGCTGCCCAGGACAGAAAAACTCACACCCTGTCCGGATGGGATGGAGATGGGGTGCGAGGAGGCACAGGTGTCTGGGGGAAGCAGCAGGGGAGGACTGGAGGGTGGAAGCCAGCCCTGCCACCTGCTTCCTTGCAGCCCAGCGGAGCTGGCTTCCTCTCCAGCTCTGAGGGAGTCCTAGAAATCCCCTTTCTTCCCTTCTTTTCCTTCTCTGTCACCGGTGCAGCCTGCAGCAGGGCAGGAGCAGCCTGCCTCCAGCTCCCGCACCCTGCACCCAGAGCCCTGGCACCCCAGAGAGAAGGATCTGGGCAGAGCTGGCCTCGGCTGGGCTTGGCCTCCCCCGAGGCTTGGATGACTGACCTCAGTCTCCTGCCTTTGCCTTTGGCCCGCTCTCCTGCTTCCCCAGCTGTGTACCAGTGAGACCTGATAGTCCCCAGCCAGGCAGACAGTGGGCTTCACGCCCTGCAGCACCACGGTGCTCTGTCCAGTGCTGGGAAAAGTCTCCCCAGCCACCTGAACCCCGAGAGAGACACACACACACACACAGAGAGAGAGAGAGAGAGAGAGAGAGAGAGAGAGAGAGAGTCAGAGTGTGGGGCTGTCACCTCTGGGTGGAGACCGTGATCTACAGCGGTGTCTCAGCCAGAGACCTGCACACAGCAGGCTCTGTGCGCGCTGCGTGGATTACATGTCTGTGAATTTATTTATTTTTTTTACCTCTCGCTTTTCTTTCTCAGGCCCATAATGAGGATCTTACAGCCAGAGAGACCTGCAAGGCTGGGTTCTCTGAAGATGATTACACAGCTTTAATCTCCCCCAATATTCTGCAGGGAGAGAAGCTCCTCAAAGGTAGGGCAAGGCCTGAGGAGGAGGGAGGGGTCACTGGGCACTGCCCACTGCGGGAGGCCTTTACAGGGACAAGGCCAGGCTGCGCTGGTTTGTGTGTGATGCTCTCTGTAAGATGATGGTCAGTGAGGTACAATGTGGACCTACGAGACATTTGGCATCCAGGTAAATGATTCAGAATCCTTGTCATTTTTGAATGAGGTGAATCATTTCCTGGGCAACAAATTGGAATTCGGAAGTAACGTCACCCAAATAATGTGCAGAGAGAGACTTTCTTACCGAGTATTTTTATGTATGAAATTCTGGATTCTTAAATTATCCCTGCTTTGAAATGCATGATAAAGCAGACGATGTTGTTGGAAATGCAGTAAATAAGCCCACAGACGTTCTGTTCGCAAATGTGGCGTTCATTTCCATTACTGCCCCACTGACAACATGAAAACACACACGCAGCGGGAACTACGAGTTCACTTCCTGCTGCTTGCAGCCTGGCTTCCAGGGTTTGGTGGGGAAGTCTGGCAGCTCCAGAACTCTAGGACTATAGATCATTCCACATATCGATCTGTTTCTCTTTGGAGAGGAATGAATTAAACTTTATATTTGCATAGGGAAGTAAGTAAGTTCTTGCTTTCCCAGGATTTGGGAGTCCGACCTTCCCTCTTGGCCTCAGTTTCCCACAAGCGGCCATCTCTGAGCTGGGGAAGCCGACTTTCAATAAAGCCCAGTTTCATGGTTCACCTAAATCATCCTCGGGCCGTCGACTTCGTCCCTAGATTTGTGTTCTGGGAAGTGGAGACTTTTCTCCCCAGGGCTGATAGCACTTTCTGGTGTGTGTGTGTGTGTGTGTGTGTGTGTGTGTGTGTGTGTGTACATGTGTGTAAGCTGCTCACACACACAGTGGGGTGAATTTCTAGATTCTCACCCTTCCAGATGGAGCTTGTTGATTTTCTTGTTGGTTCCTTGTTACGCGAATTAGCATTTGTATTTTGCACAGAATCCAACTTTTCTTACTTTTTTGGTTTTGTTTTCTGAATTGTGATGCCAGTGACTCTGGTTAACTATGAAAAAGCGAAAATTTCCAGGCAGCTCCTGATGCACCGCCTCAGCAGGTGTGCTGGAGGAAGCTGCTTCAAGTGATGCTGAGCTCCTTTCATGCGTGTGTCACTCTGGAGTGGCTCAGGCGGCCGTCATCCTGGGCTTTGGGCTGCAATGACACCTTGTGATCCCATAACTAGGCTGCCCTTGAGCCCTGGGCAGCATTCAGTCCTGCTGGTTGTGTGTTCTGAACTGTGGTGCTGAAATCGCCCCTAAGGCCTCTCTCTGGGAGCATGAGACTAAATGTGCCCAGACCTTAGTCACCTTTAGACTGGAGGAAATGGGTCTCTTCTGTCATGCAAAGATGCCCTGTGATGGAAGAGAATGGACAGCAGATTCTCGTACCTTCTGAGCTGGTGTGAGAGTCAGACAGCACCGCAGTGTGTGGTCCTACTCACAGTGTGCTTTGCTCCTTGTGGGCACAGGGTGGGGGGGCCTAGACCCCTGCTGGATGCTTACCTGGCCCCTGGGCCTACATGGTGATCATGCAGTGAGGACACGAAGCCACATCACCCTGGGCGAACCTGGACCCGCCCACTCACGGGCACTGCGGACACGTGGGCTTCTGAGCCCGTGCTCACCCTGAGATGAGGCCTCACCTGGCCAGGCCTGGCCAGGGCAGGACCCGAAGGCCTCTCCAGCCAGCAGCTGAGGTCTGGGACCCTTTGCCTGTCTGCTGGGTGGGTTTAAGTCACACTGTGTCTCTGCCACCAGCCCGCAGCGCCCCTCCTCACCTCCTTCCCCTCACCCCTTCTAAGGTGGGCGCTGTCTTTTCTGTCTTACAAGTAATTTTACACACACAGAGACAGACGCTCAAGCTGCCGCACACTCAAGCCAGGGCATGCAAACATTTCTCTGTGTGTATAGAAAACTTTGCAGCACTGAGGACATAGTAAGGGTACCTGTGTCAAACACAGATGAGAAGCCCGTGTTTCCGTCACTCTGGTGGGAATCACGTTAACTAGATAATGAGTGCTTATGACTGAGTTAGTCCAGCAGAGAGAACTTAGCCCTGCTTTGAGGAGCAGAGCCCAGCCGAGGGCCACGCGCCAGTTAGGACCAGACTGCGGCTCCCTGTGCCCGAGTCCGAGCCCACGGCCCCACGGCACTCGGATTCCAGCAGGAGCAATTCGTTACACAGTAATTAACTTGTTTATGATAAATGGATGGAAGAAATGTCGTGGCATTTTGTTTTATGTCTAAATGAAAAGCATTTGCATTCTAAAAATTTCATGCTAATTAGGCTTAAAATAGTTTTCCCCAATAGGTTAAGAAATACTATCTATTGCAAACCCTCAGCGCAGTGGAGCCTCTGCGTGTGGAAATCCAGGGTGCTGGTCTGCTGCTCTGTGGCCTCACGGGGTCCCTGCCGCCCGCGGTCCCCGTCTGCTGTGACTGCAGAGCGTTGTGATGTAACCACCAGGCTCTCAGCCCAGCTGGGACCCTGCACCTTGGTGCTGTCGCTGTGGCACTGAAACAGGCCCGTCCCGCTGCTTCCCTCAGGCCACACGGGCCTTCTACAGGCCGGTGTCCCTTTCTGTGTGCCGTTAATAATTCACAGTCAGGCGGCAGAGAACCTGGGCCTGTGTGCTGCCTGCACTGTCCCCAGCAGAGCCGTCCATACAGGGTCACCCAGCAGGGTGCCTCTGGGTGTGGGTGGCGCTGACCTCTTGTCAGGGCCCTGGGTGGGCATCCACCATGTTCTCGGAGGGGCGCGAGGGAGGGATCTGTGCACTGTGGAGGAGTGGGGGTCCCTGGGGCTCGACAGCACGGAATGGGGGGTTTCGGTTTGAACCAGGATGTGATTTCCTCAGGAAAGCTTCCGCCCCCACCCCGCCCGCCACATCCCCGAATTAGCTTGGGACCCTCCTGGGCACTGTCGCCGCTGCTCCTCGGCCACTTAGACTGTGAGGGTCACAGAGGCCGAGCCTTGCCGTGCTTTCCTCCCTGCGTAGTAGTCAAGGTGTTCTTGGTTCTTGATAAAACCCACTTAACAGGGCCTTGAATATGGGGCTCACTTTTCTCACACTGCGATGAGGGCGAGGTACCGTCAAGGGCAGGAGCAGCAGAGGGCTGACACCATCATCAGCTTCATCCTTATCGTTCTGCCGGGTTTGGTTTGTCGATTTACTGACTCATTGTTGCAAACCAGCTGCTGTGGTTCCCTGTGTTTCCTCTGAGTTCTGAGCTGGAAAGGAGGGCAGACTAGCGCTGTCCACATTTCCTTTCTGTATTAGGAGAGCGCTTTCCCAGGACCCCGCAGAGGTTCACGTTAGCAGTGGGGCTAGGTCACATGTCACTGCTTCTGAATGTGCTGAGGAGGCTGTGCAACAGAGCGCTGTTTGTCTTTTTGGCTCACACTGACCATAACTGAGCTCCTTGCTGAGGGAGGGCGTGTTCTGTTTCAGGAAGGAGGAAGGGGTGCCTAGTGGTTGACCCCCTGGCACGGTTTCCCTAGCTCCACAACCAGAGCAGAGCAGACAGGCAGTGGATTGCTGAATGACTGAATGACATACAGGGAGAAGATGGCTGAGGAGCCAGACGAAGGCCAGAGTCAGTAATCAGGAACGTGTCCGGGGTAGGGCCTGAGTAAGGCCAGGAGCCTGTTATCAGGTAGCCCAGGCTCGCCTTGGTGTGGGCAGCTATGCTTACCTGGACAGTGTCACCAGAGGCCTGGCCCAGAAGCCAGCATGGCCTTGTACCTGTGGGCGTGGTTTGCTTGGGTGGGCGTGGCTTTACTGCAGGTGGGTGTGGCCCAGCCCTCAACTGAGGCCAGCAGCCCAGCTGGGAACTGCAGGGAGCACTGCCTGAGCTTGGCCTCCAGGCTCCCAGCACCAGGGTGGTGAGGGGCCTCCTTCCATCAGTGGCCTCTGATTTAGTCTATCGAGTTCAGCTTGATGGCCAGCCTGCCTTCTTCTCCTTGTCCTGGCTGGAACACAGGCATGATATCCAGAGTTGCACGGGTGTTTTGTAGCTTTGAAGAGGGTGGACAGAACCAGTCCTTGCACAGCTGCAGAGCCCTAAACTGCTGTCTCCTGGGGGGTGAGACTGACGAGGTGACTTGCTGTGTGTGTCCACAACGGAGAAAGGGAGAGCCCGTCCTGTCCGGGACCTCAAGTTGCAAATAGAGTCTGGAGGGTGACAAGACTGGCCTCATCCTGCCCCGTGAGCCGGGCTGGAACTTTTCACCAGCCCACAGCAGTTGCCACCCTGTTTCAGGAAAAGCACATCGTCTGCCCTGGACGTGCGATTGCTAGTGGCCAGCAAAGGTCCTTGCCTTCGCCCACCCCAAGGCACAGACCTCCAGCCCCTGCACACCTCACTAACCTGTCTCTGTCTCTTATTTCACCTGTCTCCATACCCCCTGTCCAGGCAATGGGGCTCTTGGCCAGGCCGCTGGCTCTGCACTCCAGCAGGTGCAGCCCTGCTCTGAGCCCCGGGCTGCAGCCACCTCTGCCCTCCGTGCCCCTCCAGCCCCACAGCCCTCTGCTCCTCTGTGAATCAGAGGCTGCACTCCATACCGGCTGACGCCATGCTGTGGGTGCTTTGCAAAGCTTCGTTGAATAAGGGAACCAGTGACCACCACTTCAGGGTTTTCCCATGGCCAGAACACAAGTGGGCAGCTAGGATGTGAGACCAGGGCCACCTGCCCAGGCCACCAGCATATGGGGACTCCCAGCCGGGCTCCTGGCGAGCCCCTGAGGGAAGCGGTGGCGTGCCCTGTCGGGTTCCTCTGTCCCCTGCCTGTGGCTGCAGGAAGCAGAGGGGGATGAGGCCGGGCCGGACACCGGAAGCAGCGCCTCCCACGGAGCAGGAAGACTCCTCTACCCATTGCCCATCGCCTCAGGGGCTCGAGATCACTGGTCCAGAGCACAAGGGGCCCGGCGTGCCCTCCAGCTGTCTTTGGG